CCACCACTTCAGGCGTCTTTGGGAGGGAGCAATTGCCAAGCCAGGGAGGGGATTTGTAACTCTCCTCTACCCAGCTGATGGTCTCCCCTTCCTCTGCCGGCCCTACGAGGTGGCTTCTGCCCCAAATCTGATCAATCAGGGCTCTCCAACGCTGAATCACAGACCAAAGCCACGCACAGTCACAGTCAATGGTCCGTCTTCAGGGAGGTTCAAAACCAGAAGCCCTAAAGAATTATTGTTTATGTTAAAAGGTATGCATGAATCTATGAAAGACAATAAGAAGACAAGGGGAATGTTTAAAGATACAGAAAATGTTGTAAAAGCTACCCAACAATTGGGGGGTAAAGAAGAACATGATATTCAAGAAATAGGTGAGAAGTTAGACTAAGAAGTGGAAGAGAAAAACTGAAATGAGATGCAAGAAGTTAATAATAAAGAGGAGAAAGGATAGAAGACAACTATATAACTCTTTAAAAGTTTACAACAGAATAGAGAGAAAAGGAAAAAAATTCTTTTAAATAACCAAAAAGAAGTTTTGTAGATGGGAGTTCAAATAATACAGAAGAGGCAAAAGGTATTCAGAAGGGAAAGTTTAGTAGGTACAAAAAATTCAAAAAGATACAAGATTCCAAGAGAGATATATAAAAGGTTGATTAAAAAAATCAATAAATGATGGAATCTTTCAAAGATTAAGAGCTGATGAATAATGGGAAAACATATCAATAAAATGGGAATATATATAGGGAAAATAGTAGTATATATAATTATGAATTTAAAATATTAAGGATTAGAAATTGTGTGGGATTTTGAAATACATTTCCGGGATTGATTAAATATTGTTAATATTTGGCATTATTATTAACCCTACATATTTTGAATATTGAAGTTATGGTGGAACTATGAATAACTCTTAAAACATTAAATCATAGTATTTAGGGACTATAAATACAAGGCGCAAAGAAATGTTATTTACGTTTAAATGAACTAATGGGAAAATGAGAAATGGATTATGAAAAAAGATTAGCATTGTTGAAGTTGTGGAAGTTGGAAGATTAGAATTACACATATAATTTGTATTGCTATTGTTACTGTGGCTTAAAAAAGACTTGACCCAGTCAATGTAATGCTCACAAATACGTATGTTTATACTGAAAAATAAAAAACTTATTTTTTTTAAAAAAAAGAAGGTCTGAGAGGTGAAGAGTCTTCTTGGATGAGAAGTGAAACGTCTTCAAAGAAAAACCAGAAAGTCCAGTTGCCTCTTGAAAAAAGCACCTTTGGGTCTATCTGGCATGTTGCACCTCAGGCTTGATGTTGGAATGTGATTCCAGAACTTCCATTGATCTCTCCTTTCCAACTTCAACTGGCTCCTCCTCATTTAGGTCAGAGAATGGATTGTTTTTAGGATTGAAAACATGACTCATTAAAACAGTCATTCACATTATTTCTCCAGGTTAGGAGAAATAAAGTTTTGGCCTATGTATATTTATAGATGGGCAAACATCCAGTACTAAATGCCTGTGTCTGCTCCCTCCAAGAACTAGAAAGGGCATTCAAGGGATGTCCTGCAAAGAGACTTTTGTCACATATAAATGGGATGACAACTGAAGTTTGTTAAATTTTGTTTGTTTGTTAAATTTATTTATTAAATTTATAAGCCACCCATCATGCCTAGGAACAGTGAGATGAATGCTTCCCCAACAATGACTAGTGAATAAATTTTGCAGGGACTCCCTCCCTTCCTCCCTTCCTTCCTTCCTTCCTTCCTTCCTTCCTTCCTTCCTTCCTTCCTTCCTTCCTTCCTTCCTTCC